ACACACACATTTTTCACTGATTGAATTTGACAAGTTCTCTTATTTTTAAATCCCGTTTCACAGATTTCATCCTCCACCCTTTTGGGTGAATGCGAGCGGACCAATAGAAATTAGTCTGCACAGCTTGGACATTAGCAACAGCATTTTTATAGGTTCGGGCACAGATCAGCCAGAAGGGTAGAGGGTGATTTAAGAAAAAATATAAATAAATACAATTGGTAAAAATCTGTTTTCCATTAAAAAAACTGAAATATAAAGATATTACAATAACATAAAAATAAAAATCTAAAATAAAATAAAAAAAATAAAAAGCAAACTGTAAAAATTTTTTTAAATTTTTGTTCTTTTCCTTCAATAATACTGGAACTAATTTCCAGTTGCATGACTTCCAACTAATATGGAAAATGTTTTACAGCTATCAACACTGCGGTCATATAATTATTCATTTATAGTTTCATTTCTGACCAACTGCACAACACAGAATATCAACACTAAACCTTTTCCTGTGATACAAAGAAAGTGATGTGAATTTAATATAAAGTGGATGCTAGAAAACATAATTAATACTTTATACAATCAAACTCTGGAAACTAAGCGATTTGGTTACTATAAAGATCCTGATAGTTATGTTTAAAGGTAGAAAAAAGATCCTGCAGTAAAATTCCTCGTCTTTGGCTCAAGTTATAGAAATAACAGAAGGAAGATTACAAAAGTAAACTACTTTAAAACTCTATGAGGTTTTAAATTCATGCCGATTTTGCAAAGTTTCTGACTTAGTTAAATAACATGCTGCTGTCATTTTGCACATCTCTGGTGTTGCCATTTTCTCATATAAATTACGGAAAATGTCCACAGCTGTTTATTGGTTATTTATTCTCTAGATGCACAGCATTTATATTTGTAAAAACACTGTACAGTACCATATTTTATTTTTTATTTTAGTTTATTTCTGCCACATATTCTGTTATTCTTATATACAGGTCCACATTGTGTGACGACTTTAGCTGAAATGCTTTTGCTCCTGTTACGCCACAATTTCCCCATAGTGGGACAATAAAGGGATTTTCTTCTTCTTTTCTTCTGAAAACAAGAAGCACATTTTGGCTCATTGAGTAAGATTATTTATTTGGAGTAAAATTATTACCTAAACAGACTGAGTCTGAATCCAACTAAATGCTAAGCTGCTTGGATGTCATCACCTTATGCCATGAACTGGTGTTTGTCATTTATTTTTGCAAGGTAAACTAAAACTGGGATGAATTTGTTGTTCTTCATTACAATGTCCCAAAGCAGAGGGTCACCTCATCGCTCAGTGGCTCCTCTGAAATGAAAGAAATCACACACCAGAGTATGAGTGCTGTGTGCCTTCACTGGACAGCTCCGACGTCCCCCCGATGGCCAGGATGCCCTCTTTTCTGTTGATGGCTTTGCGGAAGGTTTTGGCCACTTGACTTCCCTTCAGCTCCTTAACGATCTGAGAAGATCAGAGGCAAAAACTCAGGAATCAAACAGAAAGCAGACTTTTTTTTTTGAAAAGAAACAAAACTCAAATTGTTCCCCTCGGTTCTACGTAATTTTGGTAGATGACAGATAATATGGTTCATTTAACAATGAACAATTGGGGTTCAATCAAAATTCATAAATATCCAAAAAACAGACTGGAAGATCAGAACATCAAATCAGCTAGTAATTTGGTTTATCTCATATTAATTAAAAACTTTTTGCTTACTGATGTTTGAGACAAACAGTGAGTCATTTCATTGCAGAAGAAAAACTGTTAATAAAAGCAAATATTTTTGTTTATATTACAATAAAGAGACCAGCAGTCAGACCGCAGCCAATGTTCACAGCAAACAAAGTAAATATATTCTGTACTTTGTTCTGTAATGCTGATAGATGGTTTGTTTGCTGAAATGAAAAACCAACTGAGACTCCACACCGTCTGCTCACTATTTTTACAGACATCTGCCTGAAGCGTTGCTGCTAACATTTCTAAAGGTCCTAGAGGAAAAGGTCAGAGTTAGGTAGAACTAATTAAGCCCTAAATGGCCCCCGCCTGACATCGACTAAAACTGTAAGACAATGTAAATTTAGCCTTGCATATAAAAGCAGAAAATGTGGAGATTAATCCAATAAAAGCAGGCAAATTAATGACTTTTCAAATATAAAGAGAGAAAGGTGTTCGTCTGTCTCCAAGAAGCAGCGACTCCAACATAACCAAGGGATGTAGAGATAACACTGCATCAAATATCAGATTTATTGCTCTGGATGATGAAGAATATCACCTGACAGACCCGACTGTTCAGAGGTTAAAGGTCAAAAACAGAGTAAAACCAACGAGGTAAAAATAAAGTCATGAAGGAGGAAAGATGAGGATTTATCCCAACATTTACCCAAAAGGACACTATGCTGCAACAAATTTGGACAGTGACTTTTTTTCACCTTGATTTGAAAAGGTCAGACAAGTTTGGTATAGGATAAGAGGATTCATGTTGAACGTTTAGTTTCTTTTGGTGATTATTTAGCTTTAGGCAGGCCCAGATCCAGTAATGACCTTAATGTTGGGTTCAATACCTATAAAC